TGCACAAACGGCTTGGTGGTGCTCGGCGGCTACTCGCTTGAGAATGGGACGGACCCGTCAGTTGCACGCTGGTTCTGCCTCGATGTGTCGCAACAGGATCTGCCTTGCCTCTTCAAAGATGACGGCGATAGCCAATGGGCATCGACGAGTGCGGAGTTGCTGGCCTCGCTTGCTGCGTTGAAAGTTTTTGATCACCTGGAAAAGGAGACGTCGGGTGTGCACGACAACATCAGGACTGTGGTTTGCGGCGGAACTGACAATTCTTCGACTGGCAAGCTGCAGAAGAAGGGCTCGAGCACTAAGTGGCCGTTGATGGGCATCCAGATGGCTTGTGCAGCGGCTTTGCATAAAGTGAACAAGCAGCTCACGCTGCAGTGGAGGCCTAGAGATGAGAACACTTTGTCGGATGCCATCACCAACCACGACTTCTCGAGTTTCTGCCCGGAGCTGAGAGTTCCTTTGAAGCTGGACGATCTGCCGCTTGATATTTTCCTTCGCATGGTCCACTCCAGGAGTGCTTTCTTGGATTCGCGTGTCAGCTTGCAGCGATTGGTTTCGAGGGAGTCGGCAATGTCTCGCCGGGAGAAGGAGACGAGCAAAACACCTTGGTGATCCTTCACATGTCGGACTGGCTGCCTTCCTTCGGGGGGGGTCTCGAGGCAACTGCGACCGTCATGTGAACATGTGGTCCAGGCTTCAGACGGCAAGATCCAGTTCGACGCACCGATTGAAAACAATGGTCTTCGAGTATGCCTTCGATTGCGCGATGCCTCAAGAGTGATTCTGAGCAACTGCATGTTCGATCGTTTACTGCTTGAGCTTTGGTGTGGAACCTTGGTGAATGCATTCGAGCGTCAGATGCAGTTGATTTTCCAACGACTTTTGATTTCCCTTAAAACCCGACCCTAACCCTCAAGGCTCAAAGGTTCGACTCAAGGCGTGAGAACACGCTGCTTGGGTCCTACCAAAAGTGTGTTCGAGAGCCTTGAGGGGGGGTGGGGGGGAAAAACAGTACGACTCTGAACGCTTGAATCCTTGCGGACATGTGATCGACGATTTCACTTGAGCTTGATTTTACCTCGGCTTGATTTTAGATTGAGTGCTTGATCACTGTACAGTGTGAATGAGATCCTTGCACGGCAAAGTTACGACTCAAGTTCTTTTGTGACCCGCCCTCCCACACCGGGGGTCTCGAGGCAACTGCGACCGTCATGTGAACATGTGGTCCAGGCTTCAGACGGCAAGATCCAGTTCGACGCACCGATTGAAAACAATGGTCTTCGAGTATGCCTTCGATTGCGCGATGCCTCAAGAGTGATTCTGAGCAACTGCATGTTCGATCGTTTACTGCTTGAGCTTTGGTGTGGAACCTTGGTGAATGCATTCGAGCGTCAGATGCAGTTGATTTTCCAACGACTTTTGATTTCCCTTAAAACCCGACCCTAACCCTCAAGGCTCAAAGGTTCGACTCAAGGCGTGAGAACACGCAACAATGATCTCGTCTGCTTCAGTGTCACGTCCAATCCACAATGCTGTTTTCCACGGAACGTCGCTTTTCTTGGCGAATTTAGGCGAAATGACCTTAGCCTGAATGACTTCACCAAAGCAACACAATCCACCTTCATAATTCCGATTCCATTTACGGAAATAGGATGTCTTGCCGTCCGAATGGATCAAGTACCTGTTCAATAGCCACTGGGCATGTTTAACACACCATGGGTAGATGACACTATCTGAGCTGAGTTGAATGTCACAGTTGAACTCGATCTGGTACATCAATGCTCTCAATTGTCCGTAGAATGTTCTCTGCATTTGTCCTACTGAGCCTTGGGCTTGCGAATGACCTTGAGGTGCGGCTCTAATGCTGAGGCCTCCCAATTCTGAGCACACACGGACGCAAAGTACTTTCAATGACGGTTCTTTGTCATATTGGAGGATACCGAATGTACGTCCACACTCATAGATGAACTTCTTCAATTCGGCAACTGCATAGTCATCATTTCCTTTGCTGGGTACAACAATGGTCATTCCTAGTCCAGTGACAATGTCGACTGCTGTCAATAGCTTCCTCAAAGGGAGTTTTGGATCAGTAGCATGATATGCGTAATCAACTTGAATGACGGGCTGTCTATCCAATTGTTTCTTAGACGCTCCATGTCTGCCTTTGGCCTTCACGCAATGCGGACACCAATCTCTGTAAGGCAGGTGTGTCAATTCATGTTGACGACGCTCAGCTGCTGAAGGTTCTGACGGAACTCTCAATCCTTTAGGAGGTCTAGTAGAGTCTAGCAGTGACGTCAATGGTTTCAGGAATAGGATGATCAGTTTCCATGGGGCTTGCAATCACGAAGACCGAAAATCCAGACCATCTGAAATCCAATTTCCTGTCAGGGTCTTCTTCCGGGGACTTCTCAGTTCCTGAAGAATCAGTGTAGTTGCACCAGAAATCCTCAATCTCAAGACCGTTCTTCTCGGGATCAGAACAATCCAAAACACATGTGTACCTATTCGCAATCAGCAAATCCCCAAACTCATAAGGGTCTGCTGACGACAATGGAGAGGGACACTTGTCAGGATGAATCAATGTATCTCGTTCTGAATGAACCATCCGTATCCAATGTGTTGGAGTCTGAATCCAATGGTCCGTAGTACGAGTACCATCAGTCTGAGGATCCTTGGTGTAGAACAACCGCACAATTAAATCTTTCATGTTGGAGTTGAATTCTTTTGTTGATCGCAATCTGTTCATGATGTTGAGTTCAGTGTCTGTTGTAACAATGTGTTGTCGGTCAATCTTTCGTTCTTCGGTTCCTCGGTTGGAGACATCAAGGGACGAAGACGAGGGTTGGGCTGGGAGGGGCAATGAAGAAGGTGCAGGAGGGGGAGCTAACCGAAATCGGTTAGTTTGCAATGCTTGTGCAGGGGATTGTTGGTACTGCAATGCTACCTTCTTAGCTGCTTCCAATGCCTTGCCTGACAATGGTTTCATCTTGAAAGTGGTGCGACCTCGCCACGAAACAATGTTCTCAGGATCCGGCTGAACGCGATTATCAACCTTGTCGTCGTCCAATACTCTGAAATCCTTGTCAACAATCACGTCCGCAGTGCCATCCTTAAAGAATCTTTCTGTGTTTCTTTCACCTGTCAATCTGTTCTCATCCACAGGCAATTCTTTGCTGAGATATCGAAATGCAAACAGATGCTGGCGTGGTTTCACATGGTGACGAACCAATTCGTTCTTTTCTTCGACGATGACCCAATAGTCGGTTATCGTCTGTCAAGTTCGCAAGAAGGTAATGCAATTGTTTAGAGAATGCCACCAGTCACCAATCCTTGTCCGGAATAGTAGTTGTTCTCTTCAGTCTGAACCGCATGGTCATCAATGGGACCGGTCACTCCTTCAACTCTGTCCATCAATGCCTGGGCAACAAGTTTATACAATGCAACATACGCTTTCAATTGCCAAGACCAATCTTCCCACTTGTCGTGTTCACCTCTGAATACAGCAGGAGGGAACAATTTGATCTCTCCACCTAATCCACGGGATTCTCCCAATACTGCCATTACTCAGACTGTCCTTAGCGCAATGGAGGACCCTGGGCTTCGCCGCAGGGCTCCGCTACCATGAAAAATTCAATGAGCAATATGCGAGCTTCACTGGAATGCTTGATGCAATCAACAATCAAATGCGCAGAGACGAATGCAATCAGCTGCAGAATGCAATCACTCGGTCAGAGATCTTTTCACGAGCAATCAGATCAATCTTGTGTCTTGAGCCAATGGCATATGTGTACAATCAAGAAGGTGAACTGACGCTGCAATCTAACATTGAAGGGGGGCTTCAAAGGGGGCTTCAAGGGGGGCTTCAAGAGGGGCTTAAAGGGGGGCTTGAAGGGGGGCTTGAAAGGGGGCAGTTGGCAAGAGGTGTCCGACGGACCCTGCTTAGTCCCCTTTGGGCCAGCAGCATGCCCTCAATTCCTGCGACCCAGTCCTCGAACCCGCGAAAACCATGATGGCACTCTCCAGGTGTCGCGCTACCAGTTCGTGCCCACGGACGAAGATTCCAGGTAGGGACAAAATGCATTAATAACCGGGTTGCTCCGAACCAAGCCATCATGCATCTGGAGATGGATTCCTGCCTGCTCCAGCGTCATTTCGTTAGGTACTGTATTGAATGTGGTTGCAAAGTTTTGACAGTGTGCAGACACCTGAGGGCCGCTTCGATGAAGCCGAAATGCCGCAGTTGAGTATTATGTTCAAGTGAGTCTTCGGATCCCATCGGTGCTCGCAAGTTCTTTTCAATGCTTTTCCGGGCTTGTAGTGTTTGGGGTTTGGTGGCAGGGCAATACCCAGGAAGGAATTATGTTTACAGTCGCGGGGATGTGCACGAACTTCTTTGGAAGTAATGTCAAGACTCTTGTCACAATTTTTTTGGCTAATGCCTGGGTGCAGATTCGAGATTTGTTGCGCAGCTCGCGAGCCGCACCACTGAGCTGCCGAAAAGCCAAATGCATGCCTCGCGAGCTGCTGTTGTGCTGCGCTGTGCAGTTCGTATTGCGGGGAAATGATGCCAGTGCCGCACCAGTCCCTGGCATTACTGAACTCACGTGGACGAGCATCGCTTCCCAGACTTCGTTGTCATTTGTTGTTTAAGCGAGTTGGCAGCGCTCCGCTGCTAGCGCCTTAAAAGTGAAAGTTATTTTCTGTATTCTTTTACTTGTGTAAGGAAAAGAATTTGGCCACCTCGAGTTTTAAGTACCCTCTTTTGTAGGCTGCTTGCCTTGGAAGTGATTGCGTGAAGGCAGCTTGTGTTGAGCAGTGGAACTTTCAAGCCAACCGACTGCTTTTGGCTTCAAGCTTGACGCATGTGTGGCATGCTCTTCCATGTGTGACATAGCCTTCATGTCACTTGAGGTTGCATCATTGCAGTGAAATTTTTAGCTCGAGAGCTGCTTCGATTTTCTCATCCGAGTTTTGCAAATCTATTTTCCCGGACAACAATGGCAGAGCCGAGTGCAGACCTGATCCCTGCACTGGCTGCAGGTGTGGCCTCTGCGCCCTCGCAGTGCTCGGCTGAACCTGCCTCCGCTGTGCCGGCTGCTGCGGCCCTGCGTATGCCTTCCGGGCCGATTTTGGTTAAAGGGGGGGGTGTTAGTTCGGTTTCGGTTTGTTCGGGTTCTCGGGCCTTGGCTAGTTCGCTTGTGGGGTCAAATGCTGGTGTGGATGCTTTACTCGGTGGGGCTCTCCCAGATTCAGACGCCGAGCGCGAGCCGTCGTGCAATGCCACCTCCCTTTCCCATGTAGATGATTTAGGGTCCTTGAATAAGTGGGCCGAGTGCAGCCCGGAGCCGTGCCCCTGGGATGCTCTGAGCGTGTCGTCACTCAGTGTGGCGGAGGAGCCTAGACCGGTTTCAGAAACCTTGGATGCAGCCACGGAGGCCGCGGGCCCTGCAGAGGGGAGTGACATTAGCGACTGGCAGTGTGTGGTGACGCCGGACCCGGGTAATCAGCTCTCAAAAGGTGTAGGAGTGTCATCATCAGCAGTGCCTGCTCAGGTATCTGTAAATCGAGCTGTGCAGCAGGCTGTTGCCCGCTTTGCGGAGGATCCGGCTGCAGCCTTGCGACTGCCTTGGGAAACCCCTCTTATGAAAGCGATTTTTTCTGAGGATGATGCAACAGCACTTGCTAATCTTGTTCCGGTATCGTTTGCTTTTAAAAGGGACGCCTCCTCCGTTGCCGGGGTCTTCACGTGCGGACCTTGGCTCAGGCAAGCGTCCATCAGCTTTGAAGCTTGAAGGAAACATTTGCGAGCATGCCATTCGGAAATTCCGTGATGATGACAATCTCCTGAAAGAGGAGAGGTTGTTGCATCGTGCAACTGCCAAATGGGCCTTAGTTGTTTTCCGGTACGCCAGGGAGTGTGGTCTTGCGCCTGAGACTGAGGAGGAGATCATAGCTTGTTTTGGTACCAGGTCGGTGCACACTGTCACCAAGCGTGCCAACACGTTTGCTGCTTACTTGAGGTGGTTGGATGTTGTGTCCAACTCCAATGTGTCTGCCTTTTGTGATGCAGCTTACTGGAAGTACTTGAAATTCTTGGAATCGTCTGGCGCGGCTGCTTCCAGTGCCACATCCTTTCTGTCATCTGTGAGGTTCAGCAAGTTCGTGTTGGGGTTGTCCCGCGCGGAGGAGCCCAGCCGAAAGTGTGTCGGCCTCTCTGAGACATTAGCCGGTCAGGCTGGGGTTGTTAGGCAGGCAGCGCCTCTGACGGTGGACCAAATCCTCGTGATTCATGAAGCATTACACAGTGAAGATACAAGCAGGTGGGACCGTGCTTTCTGCGCTTACTGCTTGGTTGCCTTGTACGGCCGTGCCCGCCATAGTGACTTGAAGAGGATCTCCCATATTGAGTGGGATGTGCCGCAGGATGCCGATCGGTCCCGGCAAGGCTCACAAGGTTACATTATCATCTACACCAAGCACCATAAAACTTCCCGGGCCACGGCGAAGAAACTTCGGCTGCTCCCCATTGTTATCCCAGTTGCAGGAATCCACAGCAAGCCTTGGATACACGCGGCCCAGGATGCATTTGCGGCCGTGCACTTAACCTTGAGGGGAGAGGTTAACGGTCCGTTATTTCGGCCGCCTCGGAATTTTGACTCCCTTAGCTTATGCAGGCGTAGCATTACATCCGACGAAGTGTCAGTGTTCGTTCGGCTCTTGCTCGGCCTCGGCCGAGATGCCCCTACTGAAGGGGATCGAGTTACGAGCCACAGCATGAAAAGGACCTGCCTTTCCTGGGCCAGTAAGGCGGGCTTTGACCGCCTGACTCGGAGTTGCCTAGGAAGGCACGCTTATGCAACTGAAGGGACCGAGGCGATTTATTCGGTGGAACTTAGTTTGCCGCACGTGCAAAAGCTTGAGGCCCTTATCAAGTTCATCGTGAACGGATCCTTTGCCGCAGATGCATCAAGGGCATTGATGTGGGCGTTTCCGCCGCCAGCCGCTGAGATTGCTTCGCCAGGACGTTTCCCGGTGCCGGCGGAGACTTCCAGCGTGACGCCAGCAGAGGAGCGGCCGGGGGCTGTGGAACCTGACTCTGGGGATGAAGGCCAGAGTAGCAGCTCCACTTCTAGCTCAAGTAGCAGCAGTGAGTCGGACTCCGATGGAGGATCAGAAGGGTCCCTCACGAAACGACGCAGGGCAGGCCTGGCAGATGATAAGCGCATCGAGCCTGAAGGTGGGTGGGTAGTGCATCGGCGCTCCTACATTTTGCACCGTGTCTATCGTGGAAAGATTTTGATGTGTGGAAGGCCCAGAACCCAAGCTTATGACTTGGTAGAGGACATCACGCGCATGGGAAACCTCGTGTGCAAGACCTGTGAGCGAAACTCTGTTTGAGAGAGAAAATTTCTGAGCTATGGCCAAGGGGCTGTGCATGAGTGAGTGAGCTGTGCACCTGAAGTTGGCATGAGCCGCTGGTGCGTTTGTGGGCTACGAGCCTTTTGAGCGAACATGCGATCGGGAGGAAGTGGAGGGCATGTGCCTTGTGTGGGCTGCCCTCCTCCTCGGCAAGTGGGCATGGCCCTGCCAAGATTCGACATTGTCGAAGGGTTTGTCAAGTCGCCATGGGCTCGAGTATGTGGCAAGTGCCATCTTGTGATCTTGAGATTCTCAGCTTCACCTGTGAATGCACAAGTACTGTCATGTCTGATTGTTCAGTGGAATATGACACTTGTGGTTAGACTAGGTCCTTCGGCGCCGCTATGACTTCGTTGGTGGAATCGGAAGCCCATTTCGAGCAACGCGCATCTGAGGTGAGGCTGTCAGACACTTCAGTGCAGGCGTTGCGGCGCCATGGATTCAAGACCTTGGGGCAGCTCGCTTACACAGTGGGCCAACCAGGCCAGTTGATACCGGAGGCCGAGTTCACCGATTGGTGTCGCAACCATGTGCCAGCAGCATCAGCAGCCGATCTTGCATCGTTGAAGCGGTTATTGTTTGAGGCACAAACATTAGCTCTCACGCAGCTCCGAGCTCAGGTGACCGAACCCGACTCAGCCAGTAAGCGGGTTCCAGAAGCTGAGCGTGAGCGCCGGCTTCAGCAGTTGCGGGATGAGTTGAGTGGCCTCAACATAGAAGGGCCCCTGGAGCCGGGGCGGAAGCTTTTGGATGAATGCTCTCATCAGGAAGCTGTCGGCCAATTGAAATATCTATCTCCAGACAAATGTGTCAGTCGCCTGCATGAGGTCACGCGTGCCAAGGATTCATCTCGGCAAGTGGAAATCGACCAGAGCCGCTTCATCATCAAAGAAACACAGGATGAATTCTCCATGCCTGCATCCTCGGCGCTTCAAGTGCAGGAGGCGCTGCGACGTCGGGGATTAGCTTACACATTTGCCCAAGCTGTCAGCTGGAATGCTTACGATAAATATGTGACCAAGCTGTTCGGCCACATGCACCGTGACCCACCACCAAGCCACAATCGGATCTCCGTGAGCCAGATTGTGGAGGCTGATAGGCTGGTCTTCACCCACCTCATCGAGCTTAACATCAAACCCAAACAAGAGCCCAGCGGGCTGGGACCTTTGGACGAGGCTCTGCATGCAGCGCTTGAGTCTCACCAGGTCAGTTTTGCTTTGATGCATTTGGCTAGCAAGGGTGGCAATAATCCGCGTCGGCCTTGGAAGCGGCAGCAGGTGCAGCAGGAATCTGCGTCTGCCTCAGGGCACCAGGAGCAAAAGAAAGGCAAAGGCAAAGGTAAGAAAGGCAAGGCCGCGCCGTGGATCAGCATCCCAAAATTCATTAGGGATCGGGGTGGTGTGGCCGTCACGCCTGCGGGTGAGGCAATTTGCTTCACTTTTTGCATCCATGGGAAGTGCAACACGCCCGGGTGCACCAGGAAGCATGTGTGCGCGAAATGCTTTGGCGATCACACGCTCCTAAACCATACGGAGTGACAAACAGTGGAGGCTCGGAGTTCTTGAAGTCCGATCGTTTGGGTTCCGATTTGGGGTTCGCTTTGGCTTTAGCCTTTGCCTTCGCAATCGATTTAGGCAATGCTTTAGGCTTGGGTTTAAACTTGGCTTTGGCTTTCGCTGCAGCAATCAAAGAATGAATCTGAGCAATGTGATCATAATCATCCTCAATGTCAGTGATGCCTCGAAGAGCAATGTCGCCATCTTCCAAGTCCATTTCGGCCATGACGGCTGAGATCTGCAATTCGTTGTACCGGCAATCAGACTGAGCAAAAGGTACAATCGAAGGAGTCAAGTAAACCAGAGTGCCTTGACGAACAATAGGAACTGGCTTGCAATCTGGGGTCAATAAGGCCATGAAGTTACGACTCAATACAGTCCAGAAGTCTTGCAAAAGAAATCTAGATACAGAAACCAATGGGAATGGAATGTGTCTGCATACGTAAAATTGAATACACAGCGAATGACCACCACAATCAAGCTCGACAACACGCTTGCCTATGACATCCAATGTCTTGCCTGAAATGCTCCTGAGGATGGGACAATCCGATCCAACAGGGATCAATGGATAATCTTCGGCAAACCATGGTGGGCAACAATTTGCTGATGCGCCACTATCGAACAGTATCCAGCTTTTCTCAATCTGTCCTGAGCTGTTGTGGAACGAGGCCAATCTGTCCTCATTCTCGGTTGGTGCCGAATGCCGTTCAACTTCACTCTCAATGGATGATGCGGAGGAAGATCTCAACAATGGTGCTTCACCAATAATGGGAGCACTCAATGGAGAATGTTCTGGAAGAGCGGGGACGCTTGAAGACAATGTGCCAATTAGCATCAAGGCTCCAACGAAAAGCTTGCTTGCAATACCTGGGCGTGAACGCGCAATGCCTGAGCCTCTCGAGTTACTCGAGCTGCTACTGCTTGAGGCAATAAGACTATCATTAGCAATCTGATCAGAGGGTGACAATCCTGGCGGAGGTCCTGCAATAACTGCGGCAGCAGTCTGTGGCTGAACCTGGCCAATGGATGCAGCAGAAGCTGCTGGTGCCTGAGGTGCAATCGGCTGAGCTGGCGGCGGTAATGCTAACTGGGACTGAGACCAATCAGCTGAGAACCAAGACGAATCGTCAGACCATGACCAATCCTGAGACCAATCATAGCTGTCGTCAGACCACCAATCTCCGTACCAATCGTCCTCAGTCCAGAGTGGTATTCAGACCAATCAATGTTCTCTGTGTTCTCTCCTGAGCTTTCATTCCAATCTGCGTTCCAATCTTCGTTCCATGTTCCTTCTTCAATGTTCCAAAGGGCTGCCTGTGTGTTCGCTTTCGGGCAATTGTTGGCCCAATGATCCGGTGATCCGCACAAGAAACATCCTGTGTCCTTTCCTTTGCCTTTTCCTTTTCCTTTGTGTTTTCCTTTTTCTTTGAATCCTTTGCCCTTGAATCCTTTGTGGTGATTTCCGAATCCTTTTCCTTTGCTCTTTCCGAATCCTTTGTTCTTTCCAAATCCTTTTCCAAATCCTTTTCCTTTCTTTCCAAATCCTTTTCCTTTTCCTTTGGGCTTTCCTTTTCCATATCCGTATCCTTTCCATGCAGCGCCAATGTCCATTGGGACCGGCGAGTCGTTAGGCAATGGTTTTGCATTAATTAAATGCTTGCTCTGATAATACTCTTTGATGATCGTGACAATCTGATCGAATGTGCGCAGTGTATTTGCTTGGAATCTCAAGTGCTGCTGCAACTGACCTCTGGTCTTGTTCATCATCAATGTAACAAGCAAATCATCTGCCAATGCACTTCCGGTCGCTCTCTCATGCTTGTTCTTCAAGACAATGAACTGTGTCAAATCCGCTTCGAAATGGGCGTCTCGGAATTGGTGTTCAAGCAATTGAGACAATAGGCTAACACCTTTGGCCCTGTTCGGGAGTGCGAATCTCTCATGCAATTGTCGCCAAGTTTCGAATCCGTTTCCGTGTTCGTCCGTTCAATCGCACAATTAGCCTGGCAGCCCATGGTTGCGCCGCTGGTGATGCCCACCTCTTCCAGGGGCATGATCCAGTCAAGCTTGATCCCGTCCTTTTCTCAGGATTGTGTGAAGAGTTTGGCCGACAGGTCCCTTTCGTTGATCATCCTGCGGAAGCTTTCGCGAGAAAGATTCTTGAGACCAAATCCTTCGATTTTGCTTGTATAGATGAACTCATCAGTTTGCTTCCATCTGAAGCTCCGGCGCGCTCCGAAGGCGAACACCCTGGAGGCCATTCCTGGACTTCTGGCGCATACGTCCGTGGGGGCAACCTGGGAGCCAGGTGCAACATGAAACTTTTCCCAGCTGTGTCGGCCCTACTGGCCGTTTTGCTGCGTGCTGCTTGTGACGATGCAGTTTTCACCAGTCTTGCGTTACTGACAAATCAGTCTGCTTGGGTACACAAGGATCTAAATAATGCCAGTGGATCTATCAACACAGCAATTGCTCTGTCGAGTTTCAGTGGCGGCGGCATCTGGGTTCAGGGCGGCGGCAAGGTGCCGTGCCCACTTGATCCGAACCTGGACCCGGGCTGCATTCGGTCCTTTGCTGAAGGGGTTGTGCGGTTCGATTCGCATGAACTGCACTGCACTGAGCCGTGGGCGGGCAATAGGTGCATTCTTGTGGGGTTTGTTGTTAAAGGCTATCAGGCTTTCTCGCCTGACCTCATAGGTGACCTCCTGAAACTAGGGTTCAACCTTCCCGACTTGGGCACAGGAGACATCTTTGCGGCGCCAGGAGCTGTGCCCAGCTTCCCAGTCGTGCTGGAAGTCTTCTCCGGAATGGGGCGTTTGACGGCCCAGCTGCGGGCCCGTGGAGCCTCTGGTTCTCTCGCGGTTGACTCCGCTCAGGTGTCGGCCCCTGCAGCGCCGCCTAAAATCCTTGATGTCGCTCAAAATCAGCAACTTCTGCTAGCCTGGCTGGAAGCCGATCACGTTGTCGGTGTGCATTTTGCCCCGCCACTTTTGATGCCTTCAGACTTGGAGCTTGCTGTTGCAAGCCTGGTCTCTCGAGCTGTTGAACTTTGCCTTCTTGTGTCCATTGAGCTGCCGCTGAGCTGCCAACGGCTTCACCCTTCTGGAGCTCTGCGGCTGGTCGCACGGTGCGCGGACTCTGCCCCCACTCGAGAGTTTTGCCTATTGCTGCTTGTGCCGATGCTGGTGCAAGTTCCCTGCTGGCCAGTAATCGTGATGCCTTTGATGGCTTTGCCAGTGTACCTGAGCCACCTGCTGTCTCCCTTGAGGCGGCTCAGCTTTGGGTTCGAACATACGCTTGGGATGTAGCTGCAAAGCTGGCCGATGGTTTTGTGCCCCGCCGCTTCCTCATCGCCGCGCCTCAGGTGGCTAGTACGCGGGCTGCGACGATGTCCCAGCCTAAGGCCTCTAAATTCCCGGCCCTTGTCTCCGAACACCAACAGGTCCTGCTTGTGCGCGGTCAGTTCCACTGGCCGGTGGCTCGCATGGAGCGTTTGAAGTCGGATTTTCAATTGCCGCCTCACCTTGACTGTGACTTGCGCGTGCTCCCAACTGGTGCTCAACTTCTCAGGGTTACTAGGACGGTTAAGAAGGGGGTAGGTTCCGGGTTTTCGGGCGATGAGTGGGTTTCTGCTTGGGGTGTTCCGAGGGACCCTCAAGAGTTTGTGGCAGCAGCAATCAGGGCCGGGCACCCTTGCAAGTGGGAAGCTGCTCTCCCGCAGGTCCTGCAGAACGCCATCCAGAGAAACGCGTCGTCATCTTCCGAGCAACTGGCTCGTGACAGGGCGATCTTCTTTAAGACGTGGTTGTCAAGGGCCAAGGAGCTGGAGAACGAAGAGGCATCGTTTAAAGCATCTTTGGAGCCACATGTCGCCAGCATTTTGGCACCAAAACGTTTGCTCCTGTTCAAGGAACTCCTTTCTGCTTATGAGTATCCGGATCCAGAAGTGTTCGACGAGATTACGCACGGCATCCGGCTCACAGGCCAGACGCCGAACACCGGGATCTTCCCGCCAACATTTAAGCCTGCTATGCGGCAAGCTGCCAATCTTGAAAAATGGGCCCCCGGATCCCGGTCCAGAGTCTTGGAGGCATAAAGCCTCAAGGGGATGTGGATGCTGTGGTACACGAAAAGACGGTAGAAGAGCGGGAGAAGGGCTGGGCCACTGGGCCCGTTCCTTTGCATTCCTTGGCGCCTGACAGCTTGATTAGTCGTAGGTTTGGGCTTAGGCAAGGGGAAAAGGTTAGGTTAGTGGATGACTTGAGCTTCAGCGGTGTGAATGAATTAGTGACGGTTCAGGAATCTCCTAAGCCGCATGGGCCGGACGTTGTGGCCGCTGCTATGTTGACGTTTATGCGGCTTGCTTGGCAAATTCCTTAAATAAGGGTGGTGCTCGGGAATAGCACCTGACATCCGGGGGAACTTTCCGAAATCGCTTTTTCTGAGACTAGATCGTTCTGGAAAGTTGCGCATTGTTTCGTGAATCATGCCTTTTGCTGCTGCTGCTGGGTTGTTTTTATTTTTTCGTTGCTCAGGAGCATCCATGCGGCGCAGTCAATGGTATTGTCCATCCGGTACATTCCTGACTGATCCTCGTGGGCGTTGTTAGGAAGAACTGTGCCAAAAAAGAAAAACATGCAAACACAAAGCATTTCACCAGATATAACTTGGAATCGCTGGTGGTCTGTTTTGCAGAGGGTTCTGTGCTTGAGTTTTCAGGCCTCAAGACTCAAGAATCGTGACATTAATCATTAATCTCGAGACCTAGTCGGTCCTTCGAATTTTGAAGCTCAGATCCAGATCGGCACTTTACTATCGTTGACGGTTTGGGGCTGTTTGTCTGAACAGGGTAAGGGCTCGAAGGGTAAACTCCGGTTTGTCGGACCTGAACATGGCAGTTCCTAGTTTTCAATCAGCAGACGTGTTGGCGGTGTTTCATATTTATTAGTACAATAGTGTAGATATATACACACACATGTACATTTTCGAAGGGTCCAGATTATGCGGCTTGAAAACAGCTGTTCGGAGAACCCTTTCCTGAACATGTCTTATTCCCGAGGGCCGGGGCTCAATTACCGACGACCCTCGGTAATTGAGCTTTTTGCAGTGGTCCAGTCCGGGACAACATTTTCCTAAGCAGCTGGTTTCGACATGTTTCGACCTTCTCAAGAAGACTTCCTTCCCGAAAATCTTCACTTCAAAAAGCTTGATTGCCGAGAGCGTTCGGTAATTATGCCCGGGGGCCTCGGGAATGGGCCCACCACCCCGCAACTGAGCGAGCTTAATTACCGAGGGGGGTCGGTAATTAAGCCCTGGGCCTCGGGAATGGGCCCACCACCCTGCCACAGACCGGAGCTTAATTACCGAGGGGGGTCGGTAATTAAGCCCGGCAACTCGGGAATGGGCCCGGCACCCCGCAACTGACCGGAGCTTAATTACCGAGGGGGTTCGGTAATTAAGCCTTTTGCAGTGAAGATTTCAGGAAAAAGTCTTCCTGAGCAGCTGGTTTCGACCTGCTCAGGAAGACTTTTTCCCGACATCCTCACTGCAAAAAGCTTAATTACCGAGGGGGGTCGGTAATTAAGCCCGGGGCCTCGGGAACGGGCGCACCACCCCGCAACTGACCGGAGCTTAATTACCGAGGGGGTCAGTAATTAAGCGTGCCGACGAACGACGAGATCCGAACCGAACGCGCGAAAGCTTAATTACCGAGGGGGGTCGGTAATTAAGCCCGCCGCTGCCACCACTGTCGCAGTCAAATCCCAAACCGGCCGACCGAAAGCTTAATTACCGAGGGCGGTCGGTAATTTTGCGCACCGACGAGCAACGAGACCCGAACCGGATGCGCGAAAGCTTAATTACCGAGGCGGGTCGGTAATTAAGCCCGCCGCTGGCACCACGTCAACATTCAAATCCCAAACCGGCTGACCGAAAGTTTTAATTACCGAGGGAGGGTCAGTAATTAAGCCCGCCGCTGCCACCACCTCACCAATCAAATCCCAAACCGGCCGACCGAAAGCTTAATTACCGATGGGGGGTCGGTAATGGAGCCGCCAGTGCCGCACCTCGGCAATCAAATCCCAAACCGGCCGACCGAAAGCTGGCAATCAAATCCTAAACTGACCGAAAGCTTAACTACCGAGCGGGGTCGGTACTTAGGCCCGCCGCTGCCGTCACCTCGGCAATGAAATCCTATCGTGGTTGGCAGGCAATGCAGCATAACATGAATCAGCTGAAATGGGGAAAATTGTGAGCGCGCGCGGGGTGCAATGGGCACTTCAGTGTTTGGATCAAGTTTGTGCCTCCTCACGTGCTCAATGGGTGCTTTCGGTGATGGATCAAATTTGTGCTTCTTCACATGCTCATGATGACGGGACTCATAACAGGCACATCGACTCAAGAAACTGCATGCAGATTTCGGATTTTGGCGAGCCTTGCTGCTGATCGGGCCCATTTCTGTCTGTTCTCGTTTTCACTCTCCTCGGAAACGATTTGGGCTTATTCCCGAGGCCCACGGCTTAATTGCTGCCCGAAGCCCTTGTTTAAGGAATTTCCCAGGCTTGCTCCAGGTGTGCCCCTACAAGGTAGACCGTATGATTTGCGATCCGCCTATAGGCAACTGCCTGTGCATCCCGAGTCTTTACCTCAGTCCTATGTCGCCCATTGGAACCCCATCACGGGTTCCATTGAACTTGATCAACTGCTCGCACTTCCTTTTGGAGCTTCGAGGTCGGTGTTCGGCTTCCTCCGCGCGGCTACGGCCGTGTGGTGGCTAGGCTGCGTGGCGCTAGGCTTGTGCTGGAGCGTCTTTTTTGACGATTTTATTACGATTGCCAAATCTTGCGACATCCGACACACGGAGGCCACAGTCTGCACCTTCTTCAGGCTCCTAGGTTGGTTATTCGACGAGTGCGGATCCAAAGCTGTCGATTTTAGTACGTCCTTCAAAGCGCTTGGCGTCTTGTTTAATCTCGCCCAGTCCCATAAAGGGTTCGTCACTATTTCCAACACCCCATCTAGGATCGCCGAACTGACGTCAGTGATATCAGACTTGTTGTCATCACGAAAGTTGTCGAGGGCGGAAGCTCAACGACTCCGCGGCAGAATGCAATTTTGCGATGGGTTCTTATTCGGAAGAGCCTCACGCTTGAGTTTGCAGGCGGTGTCACGGCATGTGCATGCATTGCATGATGAAGTGACGGATGGCGACTTGTGGGATTCTCTGCTTCGCTTCCACAATTGCTTGCAGGAGAGCAGGCCACATGTGGTCACGGCAAATCATCAGGAATCCTTGTTTCTCTTCACGGATGCTTGCTACGAACCAGGTGCTGATTGGTGCGCCGGTCTTGGTGCGGTAGTGTTCGGACCTAAAGGCAATTGCTTGGGATATTTTTCCATGTGTGCTAGTGAACAAGTGCGGAAGAAACTTGGAGAGGGGTTTAAGAAGACCATCATTTTCGAGTTGGAGTTTCTGGCGCCTCTGGTCGCGCTGGTTCATTGGAAAGAGCTGTTCCGCAACAGGCCACTTGTGTGTTACCTTGACAATAACACTTCCCGAGACGTGTGCATCTCGGGCCGAGGAAGAAGCTTCATCGCCAAAGCCTTGGCGACCGCTCTGTTATCGCTTGAGGATGCGGGCGAAATTAGGACGTGGTTCTCTAGGGTTCCATCCCCCTCTAATATCGCCGATGAGCCATCTCGTAAGCTTTGTGACTCCTTGGAGGTTAATGGTGTAACACTTGTGGCAGACGATGCCTCTCAAGCGCTAACGGATTGTGTGGGCTTCCTTGGCTAAGAGTTTGTCGGTCTGATAGGTTAAAAGGGGGAAGACAACTTTCAATCGTGATTGATTAGTCTTTATTCTTGCCCAAAAACCTTTTGAAAATTTTGAGTGCGAAAATTTTCTGTCTGCATGTCAATCGTTGTTTCGCCACACACTTTGTTCCCACGAAGCCTTCTTGGCTGAGGTGGGAGGTGGGAAACCCTAGCAACTTTCAAGGCCATATGGCTTGGTTTTGTTTTGTTGCTAGGGGTGTGTGTGTTAAGAAACCAAGTCAGCCTGCGAATTGAGCCATGGCTGACTCTGGCAGATCAAAGTTCCCACGGCTGGACGAGCCTACGAGCGACTTGGGGCGCTTGTGTGAGCGGGCATTGAGTGAGGCAAGTGTGCAGCTTGCGGGTCAGGCTACCTTGAAGTTACCCTGGGAGAAGGGCATTTATGCCGAGATTTTCAGTGGTAGCGAGCTACCTAGGATGCCTACCTTACCTATGCCTGCTACACTTCCAGTCGTAGATGTTGCAAGACCTGGGACCCAGCACAGCGAAGCCTTGAAGCAGACATCAGATCCTCTGCCAAAATTCGAGAGTGCAGTCTACAAGCACTGTCTGCATAAATCAACTATTGCTGCTGGCGGGAGACCCGGGACAGATCGAGATGCCGTCTACAGGCGCTGGCTTTGTATCTTGGGCCACAATCTTGCTGGCTCTAAGATTGGAGAGTACATTGCTGATGGTGCCGAAGACCCTCTTGTTTTGATTGCGGACACCTTTGGAGGGAAAAGTACGAGCACCTTGCTTAAGAGAGCCAGGTTTGTCGCCCGGATGCTTACGTGGGCGTCTGAGCATAGTCAGACGTTTTTTCCGCTGCGGCTTGGACCATTGCTTTCATTCATGCGCAGTTTGGCATCAGAGAGTGCCAAGGCCCAGTGTGGAGAGACAATCAATTTCCTTGTGCATGTCCTTGGTGTGCATGCCGATCTGGATATTTTGAAGCATCCTGTAATCCAAGGGCTTCTACGGGGGTCTCGGTCAACAGGGAAAGAGATCAAGCAGTCCAGGGTACTCACTGTCCGGGAAGTTATGGCGCTCGAAGATATGCTCAGTGATGCATCCCTTGATCCTGTTGATCGATATGGTGCAGGAGTTTTTCTTTTCCAGATTTACAGCCGGGCACGAGTGTCCGACATCAGGAACATCCATCGCTTTGAGCTCGACCTGAGTGGAGATGACGGATACCTTGAGGCGAAAACGATGGACCACAAGAATGCGACCAGAGGACGTGGGCTGGGGCAGAGCTTGATTCTCGTTGCTCCGGTT